CAGTGCTTTCTGTAGTCAGTGTGTAGGAAGTGAAAGACCTTAATGTGGCATATGATGTGGATTTCCTCTCTGACACATGCTGTGCACTTACTGCGCATCACATTTGAATAGTATGTCTGTTCATTTTGGCATTTCATGCAAATTCATGTCATTGTTTTTCTTGTGATTATTAGATTTTATTTTGAAGCAGAATGGGCTTACTATATTTTCCTTTATTTATTGTTATCAGAGATTCTCAAATAAAATTAACTTTACCAATCTACAGCATAGTCTGATTATTTTTTATTATTATTATTTTTAGCCTTGTATTGTTTTGTTCTTATTGGTATTATCAGTAATATTAAATACAATATTTGTGACCCTGGACCACAAAACCAGTCTGAAGTAGCACGGGTATATTTGTAGCAATCGCCAAAAATACATTGTATGGGTCAAAATGATCGATTTTTCTTTTTTTTTTGCATTATTTTAAGATATTTTGTAAATTTCCTACTATATATCAAAACTTAATTTTTGATTACTAATATGCATTGCTAAGGACTTCATTTGGACAACTTTAAAGGCTTTTTTCTCAATATTTTGATTTTTTTTTTGCGCCCTCAGATTCCAGATTTCCAAATAGTTGTATCTCAGCCAAATATTGTCCTATCCTAACAAACCACACATCAATGGAAAGCTTATTTATTCAGCTTTCAGATAATGCATAAATCTCAATTTCGAAAAATGTGACCCTTATGACTGGTTTTGTGATCCAGGGTCATATACAGTATATCAGTAATATAAGCATCATATGACCCCTTTAAATGTATACCTTTTAATTTATTTGGCGACCCCTGGTGGTTGTTTTTATTGTTAGTCGCCAGAAACTAACAGTAAGTTCACTGAACTTTTGTTGTCGTTACATATTAAATTGATCTAGCCTCTAATAAAATAAATGGACACTTTTAGGTTATTTGTGTGCCATTTCCGTAACGTGCTAAATACATCTGCCAAAACATGATTCACTGTTATTCAAGGAAAACTGCACGATGCGCTTTCAATTGATCCAAACGCGAACAGCGTGTCCCTCTTCGTCTACCGTCCATGGATTAAAGTGTCAAAGCGACAAAAACACCAAGTGCAACACAGCAAGCATGCCACATAATTCCAGCCACAGACTACAGTCAAAAGTGCGTATTCTCTGAAAACATCAACGATCTTCACGGTGAGCTGTTTAACGTGCATCTGCGTGAGGAGGCGCGTGAAGGACGCTAGGCCCAGCGCGTGTGTGTGTTGTTTATGATGGAGTCGTGGGTGAGATTCAGCGCGCGGAGTCAAGCCAAAGAGCGCGTGTTCAGGTGCACAAACACCCACTCACCGCGTGTTTACAACACTACACTACCACCACATCTGCACTAGCTAGCTTCCTTCACAGCATGAGGTTTGCAGCCTGTTTAGAGACTTGGGAGCGCTGCATTGGAAGTTGTGCTCATTGATACTGTTTTTGTTTCCAACTGTTACTTCACAATTAGAAATACTAGCAACAAAACACATTATTACTCGCATGTTTTAAGTCATAGTATTTACTATGCCTCTGAGTATCATGTAAATATCATATATGGATATGAAACCCATTCAGTACCATGTCACAATGAACACCTACTACTTTCAAAATATACATATAATCATATCATAAGGGGCACTTTCGTTATAAAAGCATATTTTCAAGTAAACATAATTTCAAGTAACCAGGCATTTGAGCACTAATGCTGTGGTGTGTTTTTGTGATTTATTGCAACGATTTTCAGACCTTTGTAGGGATGTACACTACCAGTCAAAGTTTTTGAATAATAATGTTTTTTAAAGAAGTCTCTTCTGCTCACCAAGCCTGCATTTATTTGGTCCAAAATACAGCAAAAGCAGTAATATTGTGAAATATTTTTACTATTTAAGATAACTGCTTTCTATTTGAATATATTTTAAAATATAATTTATTTCTGTGATGCAAAGCTGAATTTTCAGCATCATTACTCCAGTCTTCAGTGTCACATGATCCTTCAGAAATCATTCTAATATGCTTCTTTGCTGCTCAAGAAACATTTCCTCTTCTTCTTCTTCTTATTATTAATATTTAAAACAGTTGAGTGCATTTTTTCATTATTCTTTGATAAGTAGAAAGATCCAAAGATCAGCATTTATCTATACACTATACTATTCAAAAGCTTGGCGTCAGTATAATTTTATTTATTTTTTATTTTTTTTAGGGAAAGAAATTATAGAAATGAATACTTTTATTTAGCGAGGATGCTTTAAATTGATCAAAAGTGATGATAAAGACATTTATAATGTTACAAAAGATTTCTGTTTCAGATAAATGC